ACAATCAAGAATAGCATAATGGGGCGATAACCAGCCCATCCCCCAGATAACATAAAAAATCTACCATGCTGAGCAATAATAAATTGGCTCTGGTCTCAAAACTACTAAGAGCAATCAAACTCGACCGATAAACGCGATCCACAACAAGAGAATCTCCCACAGGAGTAGAAACATAAAATGGGGAACTTAAAGAATCCCAAGATACGCCCTAATGCGGGGCAAAATAAGAGGACACATAAGAATAAGTGGAGCCTGGATCGAATAGAACCGATGCATCTCTATGACAGACTGGAACAATACCTGTGATGACAGAATCAGAGGCAACAACCTCAATACGGGCAGGAAGGGCATAATATCTGGCCTGGCCTCCCCCTCTAGGGCGACCTCTACCTCCACGACCTCCACCTCTAGCTGGCTGAGCGGGTGGGGTAGCAACTGGTGCTGTAATCATAGCCTGGGAACTCTGCAGGGCACGCTGTGGCTGAGAAGTCTGTGGAGGCGCACCCCTCCTAAGTCTGGGGAAATCTCTCACCATATGGCGTGTGTTTCCACACTCAAAAGAAGCTCTAGGAGGACGTGGCATCTGTGACTGGCTCGAGCCAGGTCTGCTGGACTGACCAGTGAAAGCACCCCGTGCAGGAGGCGCACTAGATACTGGAGGTGCATAATAAGGCTCCTGAGGTCTAGAAGGAGCTGGAATACCACTGGTTGCTAGAAGAGTTGAATGAACGGGGCGACTCATATAACCCCTACCATGACGAACTGCAGCTGGGGCACGGGCACCAGAATAATGACCCGACTCTCGAGACCTCTTGGCCTCCCTCTCCTCTCTATCCCGAGCGTGCATGCCCTATACTCTCCTAGCAATACTCACCACCTGCTGATAAGAGATATCCATCTCCAACTCCCGGGCCATGCTAGATTCGATGCTGGGAATAAGCCCCTCAATAAACCGGTGAACACTCACGCGAACCGTAGAAACCAAGGCTGGTGCATGCCTAGCCAAGTCAGTGAAGCGGACAACATAATCCGTAACAGTCATAGTACCCTGGCACAAATGCTCAAACTCTGTGCGCCATGCGTCCCTGAGGCTCTGAGGGACATACTTTCTCAAGAACATATCGAAAAACTGATTCCATGTCAGGGAAGCTGCCTCAGCTAGACTATCCAGCTCAAAAGTACGCCACCACTGATAGGCTGCTCCTCGAAGCTGGAAGGCAGTGAAAGAAACACTACTCGATCCTCACATACCCATAGTACGAAGGATACGATAGCACTCCTCCAGAAATCCCTGGGCATCCTCCGATGCTAGACCACTCAATGTAGGAGGCTGGTACTGCTTGAACCTCTCAAGCCTCCTCTGATCCTCCTCTGAAGCTACTGCCCTATCCTCAGGCTGAACTGGGGCTACAGGCGGTACCGGTATAACCTTTGGGACCTGCTCGACCTGTACTCGCTACTCAAGAGTGCGGGCGGCGAGAGTCTATGCTCCTCCCCCGGCCTGAGATGTGGCTGCAGCAAGGGGAAGCAACCCCGCCCGATCTAGAGTGGTGTACATACTCATGAACTGTGCAAGAGTCTCTTGGAGAGCTAGAGTAGTAATAGCAGTAGGCGTATCAGGTGCTTGGGCTCCGGCTGGAGCGGCTGGTGGCTCCTCTCTGGCAACTTGCGTGGGTACTCTGGCTGCACCACGTGCGCGTCCTCGGCCTCTACCCCGGCCCCGACCTCTGACGGCTCTGGCAGGGGGCGCGGGTGCTTGATCATCTCTGGTAGCACGTGTCCTCACCATCTGTGAGAGAATAGAAGACAGAGGTTTAGAATCCTGATTTCAAAATCTTGCACGACAAGGAAATCAAATGAAATGGAGTTTTCCTAACAGTTACATAGCGTCTCGCAGATAGGTACAGACGTCCCTATACCGATCCGCGAGACTCTAATAAACTGGCTTGTGATTCATGACTCCTATGAACCTAGAGCTTTGATACCAACTTGTCACGACCTAAGTTCTCCCTCCGCAAACTATCGTGACGGCACCTAGTCTCTACGACTAGGTAAGCCTAGCAAAATGCGAAAAAAGGAAATGAAATACGAAACTAGCAAGTTGCGGGTAAAACATAATTAAAGAGTTTTAAAAAAATGCCACTCGGCATACACAATACACACTCTCAAAACTAAATCAAAAACTCCCAAAACTCGGAATCTCATGAAATCACAAGCTAGAGAAAACTACATAGTGTTCTAACTCCAGAATGTCTAATCAAAAGTAAATACAGGAAGTCTAAAGCTAGAGGGAAGAACAGAGAGGGACTTCTAGATCAGCGGACGTGGCAGATTGATGTGCCGGAGAATTTCGGCACATTTCAATACAAATTGCTTAGATTTTAGCTTGTTTTGAATGCAATTATCTCCTTTACTTATGCAATTTTAGTGTTTTTGCAGTACACGAGGTTTAAGGACCCAAGAGCATGGAAATGAAAGCAAAAAGTTACAAAAAGACAAGAAAAGTGCAAAAAGGCATCGCAAAGGAAGATATGCGGTCGCAAAATCACAATGCGGACCGTATAATTTACACTGAGATCGCAGATCAAAACAGACTCCTGAGCAAAATTCAACGTCAAGAATGCGATCCATTCTGCGACCACATAACCTGTTTGCGAGCCGCAAAATAGACCGCAAACCAACCGTGAAGGCTGCTGAAGGAAGAAAATGCGATGCAAAATGCGATCGCATTTCTACAGTGCGGACTGCAAAACATGAATGCGGTGAAGGCCAGGAAACTAGGGTTTCAATCTGCGATGGGGATGTCCAAAATGTGAACCGCATGTATGCTTTGCGACAGGAATGCGGTCGCATATCTGACTGGAAAGGGGCATTATTGTCCGTTTTCTGTCCCGATTTTCAGTCCACTATAAATAGATTTATGAGGATTTTGTGGGCTCAGCTTGTCTGGTTTTTGAGCTACATTCCAAGACTTAAATATTCTTCACTTTTGGAATCTTTTGGGTCAAGAATCTTCACTTTGTAAGCTTTATGGCTTTTAATATTCTCTTCATTTTGTATTTTAGCATGAGTAGCTAACTTTAAATACTAAGGTTGGGGACCCTAAATGGGTGTAATGTTAATGGGTGTTTACCATTGAATATATATATATAATGGTTGGTTGATATTTATTTACTCCTCATTCTTCATTTATTGTTGGTGATTGCAAACATTAACAAGTGCCATTAAATTCTTGATTTGCTTGGGAAAGTGGGTTAGAATTTGGTAGGAGTATAATATCAAAGACTCAAGGCGTTAACCCTTGTTTAATAGAATCGCTTAGGAATAAATGGGTTTTATTTGGCATATATTGGTTGTTTTTAATTGCAACTCTTTTATATTTGGAAAAATCATAAAGAGGAAATACTACCCAACTATTGGAAAATATTGGGTGGTCAATTAGAAATCATTTGCACATCATAAATGACCTTCCATTAGAAATATATCACATTAACACCGGTAGCATTACATTTCATTGAAGGGGACACAACCTTGGTTTCTTTAATCCAATTGATTACATTCTAAATCTCAACATTAGTCATTTCTCCAAATCACAATTAAACCATACTCTTGTTACAATTAACCGGATAGAATTAAGATTTAAGTCAAGTGATACACTAATCAAGTAGCTTTTCACACCTATTCCCTGTGGGATTCGGCCCCAACCTTGTTGGGTTATTATATTTGACACCGACTACCTTACACTATTTATTAAAAGTGTAATTTGAGCGTATCAAATATTGGCGCCGTTGCCGGGGAATACGGTTTTGAAATTACTAATTAGTGTGTGCTTTACTTTACGTCGTATTCTATTCCATCACTATTCGCTTGCTTTGCTTAGTGTTGATGGGAAAACATGTCAGACTACGAGGAAGAAGTGGATGAAAATCCTTTTGCCGACATAGATGAGTACATTGAGGATACAAATGCTATTGTACCTCCGGTTGTTGGTGCCTCAACTTTCAAAGTGGAACATGGTCTAATCCTAATGCTCAAAGCGGAGGGGTTTTTCAGGAATTCCACCGATGATGATCCAACACAACACCTTAGGAACTTAGTGGGAGTATGTGCTATGCATAAGCAGAACAATGTCTCAGATGATACCCTAAGGTTGAGGGTGTTCAAGTACTCTCTAGCTGGAGACGCAAGGAGGTGGCTTCAAACTTGGCACCAAGTTCCATCCGGTCTTGGCCTGAACTTGTCCGGGCATTTCTAGCAAAATGGTTCCCACATAGCAAGAAGTCCGAGCTTCGAGATAAGATTTTCTTCTTCAAGCAACAACCAGGGGAACACCTACATGAGGCATGGGATCGATTCAAATTATATTTGGTGAGGTCTCCCAATCATAGTTTTCTAGACTCCATCTTGCTAGAGAAATTTTACATGGGCTTGGATCCTATGAACCAATCTATAGCGAAGAATGCGGTTGACGGATCTTTTATGGACAAATCATTTGCAAGAGTCACGCAAATACTTGACAAGATGGCAAAACATAATCAAGCTTGGCATTCTGAGGATACCTTAGGCAGAATAGCATATGGTTCTCCCTCCTTGACCAACTTGATCAAGGAGAATCAAGAGAGGGACCAAATAATTGCAGGGCTAGCCACAAATGTAAATATGTTGACGAAAATGCTCACGAAAAGTTAAACAAAAAAAGTGAATGTAGTGGAGGATGTGAAACCCATCTCCAATGAAGTGTTTGAAGAAGCGAACAACATCAACAACCCTCAAGGAGGGTATCAAAGACAACATTAGCAGGGTCAGGGGCAACAAATCAATGGAGGCCTAACCCGCAAGGGCAAGGCAACCAACAATGGCGACATGACCAAGGTGGCTCAAACCAAGGGAATTGGAACAACAACAACAACAACTTTTCTAACCGGAGTTCAAACCCCTATGTTCCTCCAAAGGGTCAATATTCAAGCCAAGGTTCTTCTAATGAATCTAGGTTGGAAGCTATGCTTGAGCGAGTGTTGCAAAATCAAGAAAAATCCGATACTTCAATGAGGAACATGACCGAAGTTGTTGGATCTCATACCGCCTCCATCCAAAAATTGGAGATGCAAATGAGAGACCTCTCCAAAGAGCAAAATCCAAAACAAAAGGGAACACTCCCTAGTGACACGATTGCAAATCCAAAGGGTAGTGGGAGTGGCCCAACTTCTCACATCATGGCGATCACTACTAGGAGTGGGAAGGTTCTACACAGAGAGGGTGAAATAATGGTTGACGTAGAAGAGTCAAAACAAGGGGTCGAGGTTGAAGAGACAAGTGTTATCGAGGTGGAAAAGATTCTGGATGAGTTGAAAGTGCAAAAAGAGAACCGGGAAGAGGAGAGGGAAAAGGTAAAAGAGACACCAAAAACTCTTCCAGCTATTCCTAGACCTCCTCCCCCATTTCTTAAGAGGCTCGCAAGAAAGATTGATGATAGCAAACTTGAAAATTTTTACGACATTCTCAAGCAATTAAAAGTGAATATCCCATTTGTGGAAGCTTTTCAAGAGATGCCGGGGTTTGCTAAATATTTAAAGGATTTGATCACAAAGAAGAAGACTACAAAGAATGAAGTGGTGAATGTGACTCACCGGATTAGTTCCATCATTGCAACATCTATAGTTCAAAATAAAGAAGATCCGGGAGCTTTCACCATTCCTTGTACTATTGGGACCCGTGACTTTGCAAGAGCCCTTTGTGATAATGGGGCTAGCATCAACTTAATGCCCCTTGCCATCTATAAGCAAGCTGGGTTAGGAATTCCAAGGCCCACTAGTATGAGATGGCAAATGGCCGATCGGTCCATCAAACGCCCGGTGGGAATTGTGGACGATGTTCTTGTGAAAGTGGGAAAGTTTCATTTGCCCGCCGATTTTGTAATTCTTGATTGTGCGGTTGATAAGGAAATCCATATAATTTTGGGGAGACCATTCCTTGCTACGGGGAGTAGCACTCATGGATTCGGAA